GTTTTTACCAAAAAGTTCTATTTTGGTTTCATCTGACCATATGGCATTCTCCCAATCCTCTTCTGGATCATCTAAATGCTCTCTAGCAAACTTCAGACGGGCCTGGACATGTACTGGCTTAAGCAGGGGGACACGTCTGGCACTGCAGGATTTGAGTCCCTGGCGGCGTAGTGTGTTACTGATGGTAGCCTTTGTTACTTTGGTCCCAGCTCTATGCAGGTCATTGACTGGGTCCTCCCGTGTGGTTCTGGGATTTTTGCTCACCGTTCTTGTGATCATTTTGACCCCACGGGGTGAGATCTTGCGTGGAGCCCCAGATCGAGGGAGATTATCAGTGGTCTTGTATGTCTTCCATTTTCTAATAATTGCTCCCACAGTTGATTTCTTCACACCAAGCTGCTTACCTATTGCAGATTCAGTCTTCCCAGCCTGGTGCAGGTCTACAATTTTGTTTCTGGTGTCCTTTCACAGCTCTTTGGTCTTGGCCATAGTGGAGTTTGGAGTGTGACTGTTTAAGGTTGTGGACAGGTGTCTTTTATACTGATAACGAGTTCAAACAGGTGCCATTAATACAGTTAACAAGTGGAGGACATAGGAGGCTCTTAAAGAAGAAGTAACAGGTCTGTGAGAGCCAGAAATCTTGTTTCTCTGTAGGTGACCAAATACTTATTTTCCACCATAATTTGCAAATAAAGTCTTTAAAAATCAGACAACGTGATTTTCTGGATTTTTTTTCTCATTTTGTCTCTCATAGTTGAGGTATACCTAGGATGAACATTACAGGCCTCTCTCATCTTTTTAAGTGGGAGAACTTGCACAATTGGTGGCTGACTAAATACTTTTTTGCCCCACTGTATATATATATCTACATCTGCCTGATGGATTAGCACAAACTTTAGCTCGGACAGTCATTGTTCCCAAATGGATGATTCCTTATGACTTGGTGCCCCCGTGACTTCTCCACTTTTTTGGTTCACCGTAAAATGGCTCCAGAGCAAAAATATGGACCACATAGAATTGTTTCCATACAGGATGAATTATATAATCACTTTTTGTGTTTACCATCATCCCATATTTCTATTGGTATAACCTAGTAACCTAGTTCAACACTGATTAAGGACACAACTATACTGAGAAGCCGGTTACCAAACTGATAATATAGATCAAGTGATCAAATGAACTTTTATGGTTTACTGTATTTCACAAGCTACAGTTATGTGGTTGTTAGCGTGTACGTGAGTAATCCTTCTCAAAGCCAAAGAAGGCACTTCTCATATTTTGCAGTTCAGGGGATTTTTCTGTTTTTCTCTCTCCTCTCCCCCCATTCTCATCTCCCTGGTTTTCTCTGACTTCGCTGGCTTTTACACTCCAGTGCCCCCGCCTCAGCCAAGTCTAAGCTGAAGGGACATTGAGCTGTATGTAAATCAATTTGGAACGCCAGCCGTATGAGGAAATAGAATTAGACTTGTCAACCACACCTCTTTAATTCCTCCTCTCTTCTTCTTCATCTCTCTCTCCTTCTGTAGTCGTGTGCTCCTTTTCAATTAGGCATACTGTACCATAAGACGCAGCTATAGGAAGGCTTAGGGTTAGGCTGGTGGGGGGAGAGGGGATTAAAAGAAATCACTGAAGTTAGCACTCTTCAAAGGAAGCAGAGAGAGTGCAAGAGCCATATTTCTCTCAAATGGCTCCTTGCTCAAGGGGCTTTGTGTAATGGTGAATTATTACATGAGGCATGGAGTCACATATGTAAATGAAGCTCGGTTGTTTAAATTTGCTCCGAAACTTGTACTCTATGCGCGCCACAGAAAGGAATGATTTTAAAAACACTGATTTGTGTAAACAGCGTGTGACGCATGCAGTTTGGGCTCCCATCTATTATGTCATTGGAGCAAGGCTGATTTGTTCTTCTTTTTATATAAAACTCACCCAAAAACATGTTTGGTTGAACAACAACAACAACAGTTCTATCTGCCGTATTTCAGATTGGACAGAATGTCATATCAAGGAAAGGGATGTTGTACGGCACACAGTAATGAGTTTTTCTGCTCTGTCCTTGTCTGTATGGTCTCAGAGTTTTGCTAGTCATATCTCTGGAAGCCATTCATTGATTGTTGTGTCAGACGTACTGTTTGTCATCAACCCACTGAAGTCAAGAGATAGAAAGGGAACAGGGACATATGTTCATCTGAGTTATCAGGGATTGAAAAGGTGGACAAGAATCCTTAATATCTTTTTGAACGGCTTTAGTAGTAACAGCTTAATAATAGGCTTAGTCACACTGGTAATTAAGTTTAAACACTTAGTGTAGTTAACATACTGGGCTCTAAAGCAATGCGTTGGAAGCCATTCATCAGGCGTTTAAAAACAATCAATAATTGAAGCTGTAAACTATTTTTCAGAGAAATTCAATTAATTCTTCAGAGCAGTTTGTAAGATGCTAAATAAAAGAGATGGGAGATTATTTTCTCACACAAATAACAGAGTTTTCTTTCCCCCAGAGCCGCTATTAAAGAGACCCTCATTCATCACAATTAACCTGGGCGGCTATTTGTGAATCGTTAATTAGTTGTTAGACTGTGTCTAATGACTCGCAACACACACTTAGGAGCATTGAATCAATGGTTATTGACTCAAGCAATTATAGTACGGTAGATTGATATATCATTTTTGTTAAATGAATACAAAATATGAAGTTAGAACAGTACATTTTACAACACACATTATAAAACATGATGCAACTTATTCAACAAATGCAGTTGTTCAATAAATGGACAGTTTGAGGTTGAGACCATCATCATCAACACCACATGACTATTGTCTTCAGCACATCCTTCAGCATCTCTGCAATCCTGTTTCAGAATGCATATCGCCTCCTGTCTTTAGAACAAATACTTAAGGACCATTTGAAAACAGGACTTGGAGAATGCTTAGGGGATTTTCATAACAATACTCACTGCCGCTCTCTATCTAAATTGCATTTGATTGGCTGCATGTTTCTCGAGACAAAACCAGGCATGCAGCTGTGTAATTGTTGCTAAGAAGGCAGGTGCAATCACACAGAAGTATCATGCTATTCAGAGAGAAATGGCATCCTCGCTTTCCTCCATTTTGGGGGTTTAGTGGCAGAACACGAGCAACACTTGGGTGAGCATGACATTCTCCATCTTCTCTCAACGCAAATGTCAAATCTTGTTTTGAATACACATATGCCCAGGAGACAGTATTGAATACACATATGCCCAGGAGTATGTTTATTAAAGGTTTGTAGTCCGTCCAACAGCTCAGATTACATTTCATATACTGGGTCAGTGAAAAAGCGGCAGATATTTGAGAAGCAAGGGCATTTGATCACCAGCAGGGTCATGTTCAGCTGTTTAGGATGCAAGGAGCTGAAAGGTAACCAGCAAGGTTGAAGGAAACTCTTTTCAAACACACAGTAAACATTGATGGCCTCATAAACGATGTCCTCTTGCCAAGCAGTTGATTAGAAGCAGATTTCATCGTGTAAAACCTGCAGCTTTACTACAGTATGTGTCGTAGTATCAAAGCCACGCTGCCCTAAGCTGGCTCTACCAAACATGCCTCCAAAGTACAGCATGTGAGCTTTTTCTGGGAATTACCACAAATCCTATCTTTACGGCCAACACATCCTGTATTAGAGCATTTTGAATTGATCCTCTTTTCAACCAAACATCATTGTGTTGTGTAGTTGTTTTATGGAAGTAGCAGTCCACCTTTGCAAGTCAACATAAAGAAACATATTTAGGGATTTTCATTAAGCACACACCACCCACTCATGTGTCATCCATTTATAATGAGACATGCTGGCCTCTTTAAAGTGATTACTGGCCTGTGGCTTATCAGATTTGTTTTAGAGCTTGGTAATGGTGTGATAAGGCACATTAAAGCGATAATAAGTATTTAATTAAGTTAAATGTGTTCAGGCTCGGGCCATCGAGGATTAATTCTTTTTTAAACAGCTCATAAAAAATGTGAATGTACAGACCTATGTATAAAATAAGTCCTGAAGTATGCAAAAAAGTATATTATTGGCTTTATCCGATCCCAACTAATTCAGTTTGTTGGTCCATGCAAGCTGTGTGGGATGGCAGGGCGTTGTGGGATATGAAGGAACTCCGCTGTGAACTGGACACACAGTGTGTTCCAGTTTGTATATCTTCTTCTTTCTTCATGAATCCCATGTTTTCTGCAGGAAAAAGTCAAGTTGACTTTTTGTTTTTGTATCTTTTGTTGCATTAAATTCACCTTTGGTCCATAATGCGTTTAGTTTTTTTAAATCTGGAAATAAATCAAGTCACTCACAGACTTAATGTCACTTTCCTGCATGTTTTCACTTGCTATTAACTCTTTACCTGCTACTTTCCACTCTCTCTTTTTAAATTCTGCTACACACACACACACACACACACACACACACACACACACACACACACACACACACACACACACACACACACACACACACACACACACATCTTGAGATCATCCTTTCCTGGTGTCAGTGTGATTATGCAGCTGCATCAGATGGGTGTTCCTGATGCTCCTTTGCCAATGTTTGGGGTGGGGCTCACTGTGTCCATCTGCTCATGGCCCTAGGAGGAAAACCCCCACACACACACACACACACACACACACAGAGTTTAAAATATGCCCACAGACACATACGCACAGAAACACACATGAAGAAAATAATTATTTCAGCAGGGATTCCACCGAGTCATGCTGAATGCCAGGGGATTCAAGCACATACACATACAGATTGCCTAATACATTCTCAGAAATGAAAGTCTTTCCTAGCCTCAGAATACTGAGCACCTTATTCCACATTATCCCCTAAATCCTAACAAGCAACACTGAATCTACATACATCGTCAACCAAGGGTCGAGTTTTCTTAGGAGTCTTAAAATACAGATTATTTTTTTCAGTTGAAAAATTACCTGGTTGTCTGACATGTCTTTTTTTGCTCTCTTCTTAGGGGTCTATTTACAAGCCATTACACTGAGACACATTACCGGGAGGATGGAAGAGCAGTCACCGGTGCTCACAACTTCACGGTACGGTGGCCCTCCAGTGCTTCTGACTTTTATGGTTGAGTTGACGGTGCTCTGCAGGCATGCTGTAAAAACTGACCCTTAAAAGTGATCACATAGACAGATGGGTTTTTTAAATCATGGAATATAACTGTTACAAACGATAATCATCTCTGTACCTTTTGCATTAGTTAAAACATCTAATTCAGGATTGAAAATAAATAGATTGTTTAAATATTATTTGTTTTGTATGTATTCAAAAGGACATCAATGATGTGGCTTACATGATGATAAGCTGTGTGTTATGCTGGTTGTTCGTTAGCCATCAGGATGTTATTATTGAATCCCCTTTCAGCAGCTGACATATTCCTGAGTCCTTTCTTACTTTCTATTCCATACTTTTGGACATTTAGGAGAGCCTGATGTTCCTTTTAAACTCTAAGTATGTATCAAGGACACTCACTGTGGCAGAATCGATTCTTCATTATATGAATAAGGTCTTTTCCCTCCACAAGTTGAAGTAGAAATAAGATGTCCCTGCATGACAACAAAAGGACATTTTAGCAGCCATTATGGAGGAAAGAAAGCCTTTGTGTCTTCTTCATAAACCAGGGATTGGTGACTTGAAATCATTCCCTCCTCTTTTTTAACAAAGTTTACAGTCTCTCTTGGATGAATAATATTTGGTAATAAAAAAATAACTGACAAGTCTATTTCCTGCAAAGTAATTCAGTGTTTTCCACTCTCTCTCTCTCACCTTTAATTTTGAGTGGAAATATGTGACATCTATTGCATCAGCCTGTCAAGTACAGTACAAACACTGGTTTGTCTTTGATTAGCCTCGTGCGGCTGCACACTTTCAGGACCGGCTGTCACTAAATTCAGTCGTCAGCTTTGTGTTAATCAGGCGGCACTGAAAATAAGTGTATTGCATATTAACTCCATATAAAAGAAACAACAATAATTCATTGGAATATAACTGTGCAGCTCTTCTTTTAGAAAACATGTCAAAACACTTAATAAACCTAAAAATAGTTTTTTCTAACCTTAAAGCCACTCAAGATGAAAAAAAAACCTGGATATCTGGATTTTACAGCGTTAATAACCAAGATGTATTCCTTCTCTATTCTGCTTTAAAAGCTTTAGGAAATCAAAAAATGCTTATGTCTAAATATTTGTCTTTGAATGCATTTAGCTACTTTCAAAGTCACAGACACTGAGGATAGACTATCACTATCCCCGCCTGATGTTTCCTCTCTGGAAGGTGAACTAATCTAGGTCGAGCTACGCTGAAGAACAGAGTCTTTGTAGTTGCTCTATTTTTACACTTAATGTAATGCATCTTAATTTCATCACCACCTGACTCAGTACTGTACTTGACAAACAGAAATTGTAGGAAATTACAGTTTTATCCAAAAGCATTGCTCTAAAGTACCGCAATTTTCGGACTATAAGCCGCGCCTTTTTTCCCATTTTTCGACGCTGCGGCTTATATAACGGTGCGGCTAATCTATGGATTTTTACAGCTAACAGCCACTAGGGGACCTCCTAAATCTATGGATTTTACAGGTTACAGTCCACCACCTTTAACTCTATGGGCTCTATGGCCGGTCCGCGGACCCCCAACTTTAAGCGGCGGGCTCCAGAAGGAAAAGCTGGAGGCCGGAAAAGAGTGAGACAGGTAGCGCGCAAAAGTAAAAGTGGAACCGAGAGTGGTACGAGAGACAGAACGAGAGCAAGACAGACAGACATTACGAGAGCGAGACAGTTTGTCCCCGTACCACTGGTTGAAAACCACTGCTGTAGATCACTGCCGGTACGTGTGCTGGGAGCGCACCGTTTAAGTTTGAAAGTTGAAAAGTTTGTGTGTCTGAAACGCTTTGTGATACAGTACAGTTTACACAGCACAGTACATGTTCTGTAGCTACTATTGCACTAAATGGTAACACTTGAATACGTTATGCAAATATGCAACTGGTTTGTTGAAATGTTAATAAATGGGAGCTTCCTCAAACAGCCATCTCTTTCCCGACAATCCCCTCTGTGCACGAACCTTACATATGGTAATTAAACATTAAAACACCTGCGGCTTATAGTCCAGTGCGGCTTATATATGTACACATCATTCAATTTAGCTGCTGCGGCTTATATTCAGGTGCGCCTTATAGTCCGAAAATTAGGGTATTCCCTTGTTCAGTTAAATATAAGGGATGAGAAATGGTCAGGGTAGTGAGTACTAGTGACAGCTGATATAAGAAGGCTGGAGAGCTGCGAGACAGTAAATGGAGGTCTGTCTTCCCTCTTAAAGAGAGTCACTTCCTCTGCTCTCCTTGTGCTCAGACAACAGTGTTTCACGGTGTCTGAGGAGTAGCCTTAAATGTCCCCATTTCCTTCCACAAGACCACTCTGGTGGAATAATGAAGACAAAACAATTCCCACTTTACTGTCACTTCCCATCCGTGTCAGTTCTGCTGCTTTTCTATTCAACTGTGTTGGTTGCATTTATTTAAAAATGTACGGGAAGAGACAGGAGAACAGACTGAAACAAACTGCTTTTTTATAATACTGTAAATCATTAATTACGTTATCCAGTGGTTGGAGCCTTCTTTCGATAAAAGGATGTCATCCACATCATGTAAACCCTTTTAAATAAATAATTTCTGACTGTTTTAGAATAACTGCTACTACCATGGGGAAGTGCAGACGCATCCAAACTCTGATGTCACCCTCAGCACCTGCTCAGGCCTTCGGTAAGAAACATAACCGTCATTTTGTATTCACGGAGCATCTCAACATTGCCCTTTAAGTGCTATTTGCCACTGCAATGTTTATATTTACTGAAGTCACTCGGCACATTAGCACATCACTCTTAAGCCCCTTAAGCGCGCTGTCAGTAAGTTTGTGTGTGACCCGCAGGAACGGGAGAAAATGTCACACCTCATTGTCTTTGTCCACAGAGGCTCTCAGTAAATATCTGCACTCACTTTGGCAGTAATTGGCTTCCTGCTGTTGCTAATGACCGACAACGATTGGAATATTTGAGATTTGGCCATCAGCAGAAAGCTTTAAGACACACAATGTCATTTCCTGCATAATTAAACATTTGTGATAACGGTGAATGTTTATTTTGACATTTTGTCATGCAATTACAGCTAATGACAAAGAACATTAAAGGTACTAACACGTTATGATTATTATGGATCAGAGGTGCATTACCACATTAGAAGTTCTAATGGTAACAAAGCTCTGTGTTGCTTGGCCCCTTTGCCAAAAAAAAGAATAAATATTTTATAGTTTTGCTTCAGTAAAAGTGGGCCTGTAGAGAAAGAAAGTGCTACCTTAGTTGTAAGATTTTCCATCAGAGAGTGCCACAGTCAGTCAAAGTCTGCATGTGAGGGATTGCTTTCTGCTTTGATGCTCTGTTTTCATATTGCATTGCTGTCTCTGCAGGGGCTTCATCGCACTTGAAAACAAGACATTTATCATTGAGCCAAAGCCTGGACATGACAACGGTGCTCACTTCATCTACCGAGTGGAAGAGCTCGCACTGACCCAAGGAGCCTGCGGCCACGGCTTCAACATGTCCTCTGTTGCCCCTGAAAACCACATCAAAAGTCCCTTTCAATCCTTCCACACGAGGGTGAGACTAGTGTTATGTTTTTTTTTTATCACAACATTTGTATTGAAGCAACAGTTCAAAGCTATACCGTCATCAATTCAAGCTGATTTTTTGTCATATTTCATTGTCAAACATTTCTAAACGACAAGACTTACATTTACTTAATGAAAGATAAATGGGCGTTTGACCAAAGATCAGCAAACTGGCAAGCATAGCAGTTTGGATAAGTTCCCAGAGGGTGGGCTTTACACATTTTATCTGAGCTTAGAGCCCAAAGTCAAGAGCCCATGCAAGTTTGGCCAATGATTTTCACGAAGCAGGTGCAGCATCCATCTGCTACTATTCCTAGGCATCAAAAACCCAATGTAAGTCAGGAAGTGAAGCTTAACAACTTACAGTACCTAATTACCCCTGAGTGATATATAGCTGATGATGCCTATATATCATTCTGAGTGATATATAGGCATTGCAAATTTAAGAAAAGCATCAGCTCTAAAATAGATTAGTGAAGGTTATATATACCGTAATTCTTTTAGTGTCATATACTTTTTAAGAACTATGCAATGATAATACATAACATTTCTGAGCGGGTTGTTGCTACTTTTTGGGTAACTTTAACTTTTAACTTTTATTAAATACAATAGCTGATATCCCTCTAATATCTGTATGCAAAATGTAGCAACAACTAGCAGCCATTAGCTTAACTTAGCTAGCAGGAAGAATGGTAACGGGGGAAAAAACGTAAGGAAATGTATCTACTACCACCAGCTCATGGCTTGAGAGGGTTTATCGAAATCCTTTAAATGTAAACCCACAGGAAGTGCTACATAGTCAATTGTGCTTCTAATGTGTGCCACTGTTTCTTTTCTTAAAATGTCAAAACATTTCTAACCTGCAGCATCTCTGTTTTTACCTCAGCATAAAAGGCATACTCAGAAGACAACTAAGTACGTTGAGCTGATCATTGTTGCAGACAACAGAGAGGTAATGCGCCTATCTTTCCATATCCATTCACAAAAACAACCAAACACACAACCCTTCACGATTTAAGCAGAGAAAAGCAGGGTAAGCTGTAGAAACACTAGAGCAGCTCCCTTTGGGGCTGTGGAATTAGGTCAGTGTGGTCTCGTGGCAGAGGCTCAGTTTTGACAGGAAGTGCTGAAAGATTCCCCAGCAGACCAGACAGGAAACAGGAAAAAGCCTTGTGGATACAGAAGAGTCTCCCCTAAGCACTGACGAGCTCAATGTGGGGTTTCCTCCTGGGCAACACTCTGCCAACGCCTCTGACCTGAATGGAAAAAAAGGGATCAAGTAGGTTGTGTAGGTTGTCGGCTAAGATCTGAGTCCAGCACCAATGCAGGTGGAAACAGCAAGTCTGCATTTTGGATCAAAAGCTTTGCAGGCTGTCAGATCTGCCAATATACCTGCTCCCTGCGGCCGTGCCATTTGTCTCTCTAACACTGGGAGATTTTTCTAGATCCAGATGGTCACAGCTTGACAAGCTGCCTCACACTCAGAGAAACATATTTCCTTTTGCTGGTATTTGTTCAAGCTTTTTAGTTGTGAAAATTACTGTAATTACGGTATAATCCATGTTGCTTTCTTCTCAAATTCTCGCTAACACTGATTACATTTTATTTTGATTTCAGTTTCAGAAACAGGGGAGGGACGTTGAGAAGGTGAAACAAAGACTGGCAGAGATAGCCAATTACGTGGACAAGGTACAACATCCTCTTCCTTTTGCACAGGGGGGATAAATCCCTTTCTGAAATAGAAATACTGCTGGCAGAGGAGATTAATGGGATGACTGTGAGATATTAATGTTCCATTAAAACAGCTGCTTTTAGTCTGTATAAAATCTCTGCCATAGACGAATGGACTTACTGGAGAGAACATAGAGACATGGAAAAGATGTGCTCTGATCATTTGAAAAACATGAAAAGAAAAGCTTTCACTAATGCACACATTAGCGTATTATTCATTTATAGCAGCGAGATAGAGTAACCACGGTAACAGTGCCTCAAGCTCCTTTTTGAAAATCTAAGCTGTTAGCATCACCTGGCCTTATGTCCACACTGACTCTCCCTGCTAACAGTTCTACAGAGCCCTGAACATCCGGGTGGCCCTGGTGGGTCTGGAGGTGTGGAGTGACTCTGACAAATGTCCCGTCACCCAGGATCCCTTCAACACTCTGCACGAGTTCCTGGATTGGAGGAAAGTCAAACTGCTGCCCCAGAAACCTCACGACAACGCTCAGCTCATCAGGTGGATTTTTATTTCAAATGAAGAAATCAAAAACAAGAGACCGTATTGGTACAAACGAAAACAGATCCTTACCGGGCCATTAACTACAGATGTGCTTTTTCTTTACATTAGTGCAGACTATTTCCCAGAGGATAGCGTGGATTATTACACTGACAGCTAGTCACTCATTTATTTCACTGTTATGTAAATCACGTTTTTGAAAGTTCATTCTTGTAGCATTCTGGAAAGAATGTAGTTTATATGGATCCCTGTTAGCTGTCACCTGTTATCGTTGTTTTAAAACTATTGTATTGACAAACTAAGGCGATACACTACATCTGAACCTGAAAATTATTCTAATCATGATTGGAAAATCCGCTGTATTATTTAATTGACGCTTTGTGGGTAACAACATACTTGGATACAAAAATAATTAAAGATAGTGCATAACAAATACAAACATAAGATGCAAGATGCAAAAAATTGTACAAGGGAGACAATGTTGGAGGTCAAATGCAGAAATGCACAAAATGCAAACACTTAACAGCTTGTATATCCATAAAGACCTGAGCACTTTCCTCCTAATAAAATATTATCTCTTCTTTTTCCTACTTCTGTCGCTTGCAGCGGGGTTTACTTCCAGGGCACCACCATTGGCATGGCGCCCATCATGAGCATGTGCACGGCTGAGCAGTCTGGAGGCATTGTCATGGTGAGCATTAAACCTCCTTGCTGCTCCCACACTGCTCTTCCTCTGTGAAGCCAGATGTTATCAGAGTGGACATTGTTCCCATTCAGCACGCTAACACAATCCAGACATGATTTCCACAGAAAAGGTGTTCGTTGTTTGCTGGCAAGAAGACGTGATTTGAAACATTATGATATTTTTGTTGGCACTCTGTCAACATTCATGTCCTCATTTTTTACCACAAACACCCACGTGCACACAAAGGAATTGGACTGCAGATAGCACTCCCTTTTCAATGTCAGCTGAAGTCTTGCTATCATTCAATCAGGCTTCCCTGTGGCATCTTTAGGTAAATCAAATGTAACAACGTTTAAAGAGGCCTTATACATGTATGCCTTTTGGGGTTTTCCCTTGAAAAGGTTAAATCGCAAAGTTCCCTCCAGAGGACGTTTGGACTCCTTTGTTCTATAACACAATTACATAACTATGTAACACTAGAACTTCTATTGACTAGTGCTCCACCACATAATACGTGATAGGCTAAGGGGCGGGGCATCTCTAAGCGGTTGACCAATCACAACAGAGTTGGCCAGCTAACCAATCAGAGGAGACTGGGCTCTGGTTTCAGATCGAGGGTGAAAAGAGGTGCTGCAGCACAGGCCGTATGAGACAAATAAATAACTTTGTTTGAACATTAAAGCATGTGAACATGTCACAGTAGAGGCACAGAATACAAATATGAACTTGAAATCTAGCATAATACGGCCCAAAGCCACATACGCATTTTAATGAGAAGTGATAACTTGTTTATACCAGCTCTTAGTGCAGAGATTTGAATTGTATCTAAACACAAAGCTGTGCATAACCCGTGGTACACTAAATAATTGCACATAGTAAATTAGCTTGAGGAGCCTGTTGGGTTCCACTGCCTCCACTTGACACACATGCCAAATCACAAAGTGGAAATTAGCCCAATGCTATTACTCCCCAGCCCAGATGTGTTTCCCCCATTAATAGATATGTTTTCTGCTGGCCGTGGCTGCTCTAAGGCATCTCCAGATGTTTGTCTTCCCCATTACTTACACATGGCAGATGGTTTGGACAGAGATTAAAGGGCACTTTAACCAGTTAGAGGGCTTCCAGATGAGATGAACCATTTCTCCAACCATACACAACCATGTGTGTTAATCAGCCTCAAATCTTTTATTTGGCCCACATGTTTTCTCAGTTTAAACACCATAATGTGATTTATTGTTTTCCATTAAACTCACAAGAGTCTTTATATGAGAATGGTTAGGTTTAAACTGTGGCAGCTGGCACTATCACGTTCTTTATATGGTGCGCTGTTCCGGGAGTTGCTAGAAAAGATATCAGAAAGACTATCAGAGCATTCTTTTTGCAACAAACACTATCAGATTCTCACCATCACAACGATAGCTCAGAGCGCCTTCAAAGAATTCACTTCCAAGAGTTTCATCCATTTTTGTTGATATCACACCTTTTTGTGTGGAAGCACTCAACTATGAATTGCTCGCGCACACATACACACACACACACACACACACACACACACACACACACACACACACACACACACACACACACACACACACTGATCAACATGACAGAAGCCAAGGAAAGTTTTCCCATCCTTTTTGTTAAAATGCGGGGTGCAGCTCCACATCAAATCTATTTACTGCTCTGTAATCAGAGCAGTAAATAGATTTGCTTGCCCTCAACTTTGACACATGACCCTTCCTTCAAAGGAAGCATGTGATTTCCACATGTACATTTCTCATGTTGAGAACATTTGAATACCACAGTGAGATATATACAGTAGCTACGTGGGTGACCTATTTCTAAGGGGTTGCCAGATTTGAAAACGGCAGCTGGATAACATCACACGAATATCCATCTTGTCAAGTGAGGAAATTCTGTTCAAACCAAAGGGTTGAAGGAAAAATAAGAACTGGAGAGTATTTTTGTCAAGATCGGAGGATGGTGCTGAAGACTTGTCTCAATGGAAAATGTGGTTTTGCTCTCCTGCCACTGTCCCCTTGATAGATGTTGATGTAGCCATGGTTCATCATTGTCATAATCATTAATTAGCTTTGTTAAATATATGACTAACACAATTATACAGTATCATCTGTTTTAACTTAAGGCTGGAAGATGCTTCTCTGGGTTGCAAACCTGAGTCAATGTCAATGCATTGATTAAGATAATCAACTGCTCCATGTTTATATGTACCGTGTATACATATGATTGGTACTGATCTTCTAATCTAAATTGTCAAACTTTTCCGCTATCATTGTGGGAAACACATCCAAAATCACACGGAAATGATAAAGATTGATTTAGGTCTATTAAACAGTGTTCTACTGTTTTGCATTACATGAAGGACATCGAATGTCCTAAAACTTTAACAGCAACTGTGTGTACCTCTTAATTAATTCACGTAATTGAATTAGTTCAAACTGCAGAATTAAGCTTAATGACGCAGAAAGATCATTACATCAAGACAACACCATTGGAACTGGATAGGATACTGTCAGTGTGTCATTAATCTCCACCTGTCTCACCTTGGCATACATACATTATTTACAGAGCTACATTGACTTTATTGCTCAGTCACCCATTCAAATGCCATTCTCTGCCTCTGTCTGCCTCGTGAAGGGCAGTGTTCCCGCGTATCCATGCAGTGCCAGTCATGCAGCGCTAGGTTTATGGAGCTTACTGTAGCTGTCTTCACTATATTATGATTGGGTCTGCAGGGGTAATGGAGTCGCAGATGAATTCAGGACTCCGTGAGCAGAATAAGTCATAGAAGAAGGGTGAGGGGGAAGGTGTTACAGTTACTGAACTGTTTGGGTAATCTTCAGCTTGAAAATGGTCTTCCTCAAACAGTCACTTCACTTCCCTCTTTTCTTCTTGAGTGACGGTGCACTTCGGTTTTTACTCAAAGCACTTCATGCAGAGTCAAACATACACAATTACACATAAGTCAAACGTTCTCATGTTGTGGGGTGTCTGGTTTTTTTCCCACTGCAGGATCACTCTGAGAACCCGCTGGGTGCAGCCGTGACTTTGGCACACGAGCTTGGACACAATTTTGGGATGAACCACGACACGCCAGAGCGCGGCTGTGGCTGCAGGATGACCGTTGACCGCGGGGGCTGCATCATGACCCCCTCCACAGGGTGAGCACTTTTGGTGATCCTTTTCTTAACAATTGTATAGCTTAGATTCTTTGCCTTATGATTTAGGCTTTACAATAAAAATGGAAGACACACGTTTTCCTGCTGGACTTGTTGAGATAGATGTAGTCTGTTGCAAAATTCGTATTAAATGTCCTTTGCCGCACACTGTCATATTTCAGACAGGTTTACAGTTAGGGATTTAGGCTGTTTGTCTGTGTGTGGGTGCACTGCTTTAGCACCAATTACCCTTTTAAAACCTTGCTTCGCACAAATTCTGGATTCAAATGTTTATCAGTCCAACATTCTATTAACTTGAATAGTCAAAAACAAGTGATTAAATATCCCACAGTGAGCTGCACAGGTTGGATCACTCTTCATTGTTTATGTGTTGTTTGAGAGGAATCACACACACACACACACACACACACACACACACACACACACACACACACACACACACACACACACACACATACAGTTTGGCCTGAGACTAAAGCAGCTGCTTTTGAATTCCACTTGTGTTGCCTGGGTTGCTGAGATAACACTGCTGCTGCGAGTGATGGACTCTGTGAATGTTAGTAAACAGCAAACAGATAAGGAGAACCCAGAGTGCAATACCAGATTTCACTCTTGGTCCGGTGCCAGTCTTGTCTGATGGTGAGTCCCACAAGCCGCAGACAAATGTGTTCAGGATAAACTCCACAACACTGCGAGGAAGACGAGGACTGAAGGCTAAAATGCACAGCTACTGTTGTTGTTCAAATATTTTATTGAGTTTTTAAAATACAAATCAACGAAAATTCTCTCAATGGCCCACCCACCACACAAAAAACAACATTATCCCTAGTCTAAATGTGTCCCCTACTTCTAAGATGTATGGATGAAAGACATAATAACACAAGAGGGAAAATGTGTAGAAATGCTAAAAAAGGTAAACACAGGTATTTGTAGTCAGAATTACACTTTATAGGTCTGAGAGGCTGTGCTTGAGTTCATCACATTACGCAGGTACAATACAATCAATGTTCCTTTGAATTAAGTAACACACGCTGTGACTATTATCATTCAACTTTGAATTCAAAGTAGATATAGGCTTCAATTATGTTAAGAAATCAGCAGAGACACAGAAGAAGAAAACCGTGAGTGGTCTATGAGGTCATCAGTGTGAGAAAAAATTTTTAGAGAGTACTTTTCCATGGACAAGTGAGTTTGGCAATTTACTTGTCCGAATACATTTTTCACTTGTCCAGAATGGACAAAAATTGGGGCCACTGGAATCTTCTTCTTCGCCATCGTATTTTACATTTTCCCACGGTTTTTACGACACCGCTAACGTAAGTGAGCGGTAAGATTTTACTGCATCACACATAGGGTTGGGTATCGTTTGGATTTTAACGATTCCGGTTCTGCTTTTCGATTCCGGTTATTTTCGGTTCTCGATTCCGGTTCTTTGAGAGGGTAAAAATAAGTCCCATGACAAACTGGGAGAAAAATATATTTATGAAAACATTAAGTCAAATCTGTATTCCTATTTACAAATCACTTCATACTGTTTAATTTCTTACGGTTATTGAATACAATTATATAAAAATAATCTCTGCATTGTTTAGTTAGTTCTAAGTGGTGCAGTTTGAGAATGCCACTGTGCTACACTTCCCCCCCTGCCCCGCTCCGCCCCGCCCCGTCTAACTGTACAGAAAGCGGCGAGATGCATTTCCTTAGGAATCGACAAGCAGAACCGAAACTAACATTTCTAAACGAACAATGGCGGACATGTACAATTTGCAAATGAGTTCTGCCTTTTGTAAACTGAATTTATCAATAATTTGTCAATAAATCAGGGCGAAAAACGTCACTTGTCCGCCGGACAAGTCAATTGAAAGATCTACTTGTCCGATATTGTAAATAACACGTCCCGGACGGTGGGACGTGTACTTTTTCGCACACTGGTCATCCTTCAAAAAAGCCACATAGTTAGTGCACAGAGAAACACATAAATAATGTATCTTACTATGTCCCAGAAAAACTTGAATAACCTTTTACTACACAAATAGAAAAGAGGGAGGGGAGGGGCTTTCTAAAAGAGTGCATGTCAGTGCAGCCGCTGGCAACAGTGAGCTCATCCCGCTCGTCTCCTAATACAACATTTATCTCAGCAAATAACACCACTGGATTTATGCACTGCGGTTTTTACATATGCACTCAGCGTAATGACATGATGACTGCTCAAAGATTTTAAATTATAATGAACTACATGATCTAAATGGGTGGAAGTTAGTCACCTTGTTATTCCATTATTTACACCAGAGTTTGTTTACAAAGCCCAGTGCATACTGCAATCTAATTATCAGATCAGGCACATTAAAAGTTGAGAGGGACGACCTTTACTTTCTGAAACTCGCTCCTCCATTTGCTCAGTAGAGTTTGAAATCAATACACAGTGGGATGCTGACATTTTCCCTGGCAATGTTCTCCTTCTTTTTAATTATCAATATTTTATCTGTGCATCGACCATTGCTTGCTGAAAGTTGGTACTCATTGGCTTTTATGATGGGGTTGATCTTTCAAAGAATCCTAGTCGATTCAATTTATTTTATATATCCCAATATTACAAATCTAGTTTGCCTCATGGTGCTTTTTAATCAGTAAGGCATACATACAACTCTCTGTGTTCTTAGACCCTCAAAACTGATGAGAGTTAGGAAAACATGAAAGAAACCTCAGGAAGAGCAAATGAACATAGATGCAATCGATGTTGTGTGTAAAGAACAACCAACACAATACAATCACTATATAAAGAATCAACATGATACAAAGAAAGCAATCGTATAGGATCACAGCTTCCATGTGTGCCAACTAGATTATTGGATTGACGCATTTTGTTTGAAGAATATGTGTAATGTGAACTTGGTCCCTATTTTTATATAGTTTTTTGTAAAATGTGTTGTTAGCTAGCAGCTAATGTTTTACTTTAGTCCTTTGTCAACATGTTGAACCGTGAATCTATGAACTATTTAAGCGTCTCTGCTGATTATTTAGCTCTAGCGCTCCATAACAGCTTTCATTATTTCAGGCACCTGTTTTCCTTACAAAAAGCTGGCACCTGTTCAGCTCCAACAGGCAACTAGAGCATTAAACAGCTAAAGAGAAGGATCATTACTTCACGAGTCGGTTAAGATTAAAACAGAGCTTAAAGAAAAGTGAATATTGGACTTACATTCGTCAGTTGGCCCCAAACACAACTGCAAATGAGTGGTTACGTCGCTCTGGATATGCCTGATGCATAAAACAAGGCCATTCTTCCCATAATGCTTTGCAATATTGTGATAATAGCTTATTTGACCTCTTCCAAAAGTTAGACTTATATTGCTTTTATAATAATGATCATGCGTGTGTTTGTTTTGATGTTTGATATCCACTGTGTTGTCTAGACAATGTTGTTGTCTAGATGATATCATGGGAACATGTGCAGCTTGAAAGATTAAAATGACTTTACCCAAGTTCACTTTAGCTGGTTATCTCCCTAATTGAATTTCCTGAACTGTCTGCCCGACTTCACCGTTTCCTGTTGACAAATCCCAAAAATGTTACAAACCTATCTCGAACTCATTTTCTCCTCACAGTATAGTTCATTTTGTATATATACTAGCAACCTCCTCTGACCCTATACCAAGATGCCTCCTGAATGATAAAACACATCTTTGTAAAGCAGTGCCGTTCATTCGACTATGCGTTTGGAATATTCCCATCTTAGACTTGCTAATGGAGGAGAGGACAGGTTGCATCTAAATGACGAGATTATCAGTGACGCTGCCAGCTGCAATCAAAGCCAGGGCACACGGAGAGGGATCCGCAGAGAGGGGCTTTATGCCTGGATACACACGCGGAGCAAGGAAGCACTCCTTATTTTCTCTTGTATCCCCCTCCGTAGTAAAGCAGAGGGAGAAACACAAGGAGGTTGAAGTAGGAGACAAACAGGAAGATGACAATGAAGTAATTGTTTGGGTACACACGGACGTCTATGGAAGGCGTACGAGCCCTGAAGTATGGCCACGAGAGATTTGTGTCATAACAAAGAATGAACATTTGAGGGATGGATGAGCGAAACAAAGTTGGTCATATTGAAGTGGGGATGTCTTTTAGAAGTTGAGCTAAGAGTTGCGTCAGGTGAACGTGGGGAGAAAGCTCAAACGTATTTTCTTGTGTTTATACGTGTTACCTGGGAGAGAGGTGAAACCCAACAGGCAGCCGGGGATGGACCTTGAGGCCAAGGAGGTGAATTGTTTGTCAACACATTATGAAATAGCTTGCGTTTGTTGTTTTTCCTCTGCCGAATCGACAGTGCAATTGAGGTGAAAAGGTACGTAATGTCATTATCTGAAGACATTCTGCAGAGGACAGGAGGAAAACAGAAAGCTAGCTTGCTGGTGGGTAAATGTTCTCAGTAAATGAAGCATGTGTTTTGCTTCTGTTTTTCATCATATTTAATCACCAAAGGCTCCTGCCAGTGTTGCAGCCTAACATTTACCAAAAGGTCAGACATGTCTCTCCTGCTTAGCTTGGACTAAATGCATGTCAGTCAGTAGAGCAGCTTAGAGAGCGGTAGAGACAGCTTGATGTCAGTCAGAGAGACTGCAAATATAAGAGCCCTCATGTGACCAATGTGTGTGTTCCTCCTCCTCTGAACCCTCTGGCCTCACGTGTGCAGATGATCAAACTGACGGGAATCATCTGTACTGCAAATATGGCTCTAGATCTGGGCAAAGCTCCTTGGCACACAAGAGACTGTATCTCTGTATAATGTGAGGGCTTTGGTAGATTATTATTACAGGAAGGCTGAATGACAAACAGGCGGTTTAGGATTTAGAAGATGGGGGCATGTAGGAGGCAGGGTGAGTCTTGAGCTTCCCTTAAACTCTTTATTAGCAGCCCATTTCACTTTGTGCTAACAGGTTATATGTTCCAAGAAGGTTATTTCTTCTGCTTTTCAATCGTTTTGTTTATTTCATTTCCTTTTTTTTTTTGTTCAACGATCCTATCCACAGTTCTACTTTTGTCAAAATCTGATTTAGAGTTGTCCACAGTACATTTAGTGTCGAAATCAAAGTGTGTGTGTGTCAAGATGAAGCAGCCACAACGACAGGGAAGAAAGAGACCGGAAGCTTTGATTAACACTGAATGCAAACATAACCTTTGTTATGGTTGGTGGAGAACCTAATGCCAACTAAACATCCAGTCTACAGAAACAATTAGAGCTTTGTTTTTAGTAAACATACTGAATTACTTTTCTAACTCATTTGAGAGATTGTTCATTCTTCCCTAATTTCTGTTTTGAGGTAAATGATCCACAACTACGGAATGCATTATAGCATTATATTACTTCATTATATCATTGCTTAAACTCTTTAAAAGCTTTGTGTGTTTTATTTCTGGGTGCTAATGGATTTCCAAAACAATACCATCAGAGGAAATATGTGCGTTCATGCATCTAACTTCATCTGCTCTGCTTTCTTACTGGCCATAAGAATAAGAGAAGAAAAAGAGAATTACTTCTGTTCCAAATTGCGTTCAGTGATGTTTGAAGAGGCAAGAAAAGGTATTTGCCCCTCCGGTGTTGCCTTGTCTGTTGACTTTCAAAAAAGGGTTAGGGTTAAAGGGAGCCTGTGGAGTCTTTTTGCCCACAAACTAAAGTTACTCCATGTCGTCTTAGGAAAGTATAAATGACAATTAAAAAAACGTTTACAGTATAACAGATGTTTAAGGCTGTAAAGCATACATGAGATTATAATGAACAGTGTTTTAGTCTCAGTGTGAACGACAAATTTGCCTTCCAAACATTATTACCAGTCAGAAAAGAGCTGACTAATTGGATTTAGTTTAACGGTTGTGTGCAGGGAAATTTGTTCCACCCCAGCAAACTTCACCTGCATGGAGCGGGGCTTTATGCTAATATTATCCAGGGAAACCTACACTCTGTGCTCCGCTAATTTCCTGAACAGTGGAGCAGCTGTGTGGTCTCAGCTGTAATAACACACACCTTCTTTATGGGTCTAATGAAGACTGAGATCTGTACATTTTTGCTTTTTCTACATTTTTTATTCTGATTTATTGTGTGTCTCTCTGTGGGTTTTTAGCTGTAATGTGACTTCCTATCGTGGTGGTGGGAACATGGTTGTTGTTTTTGGGGTTTTTCTATATATTTAGTCAGAAGTTTTGCTTTAAAACACAGCACTCAAATATATCTATGTGTAGAAAAAAGGTTGTCACAATTGAACTGCGTACATACATTAAATAAACATTTAAGACCCTAAAAAAGTTTCTTAAAATGATTAAAGACACATTTTTCTGCCAAGGTAAGATCAGTTTTGGCAGTTTTATGAAATATCACAGTTTAACAGCTGCACTGCTTATTGCTCTTAAACACTCCCCATTCTTCCATACTCAGCATCTGCATTGCATACCTAATTAACTCGTATTCAATATTGTCTTTTCCTGCTCATTTAAATGTATTCCTATCCTCCAAATAAAAGATACAGCCATTCAGCAAATGGCACAAAAACACTTGCAAAGCATTTGTTCTCATCGGTTTCAGGACAGTTAGCCTCTCGTCGTCGTATCTGCTCTTTCTCATAAAAACCTGCATTAGGCAGCGAGTGATGGAGAAGCAACATATCCCTGTATCATCCCTGGACACCTTATGAGGCAGAAACTGAATTTATTACCAGGACGGAGCGGGCACCTGTTACCCGGAGGGATGTCAACTGCAATTATCAAAGCCCTGTTCATACACAGTAACTGGCCACATTGGACATTATTTAAACATAGATCATTTGGAAGGATGTCCTGGCTCCCGCCGCGGCCGCTCGAGGCGCCCTCTGTTTTAAATCGTCAAGCATATAAATGACAGAGCACGTCCTAATGGCTCACCTGTAGATAGCTGTGTTTAATTGGCTTTAAATGTCATTACCCTCGTTCAAAATCCAATTAGTAATGTTGCATTACTTTTTTGGTTTTTTGTCTCGGCTTCACTCGACCTTGGCATTTACCAGTATATATTGTCATTATTTTAAATCATGGAACCAATAGGAGGGCTGTACAATACAGTATTTTATTGATAGTCAACATATGCAGAGAAAGGTTAACCCTGAAGAGAAAGTGTGTTTTTGTCAGAGACGGTCAGTGTTTTAGAAGATAAATCAGTGGACAGTCCACACAAATGAGTTATCCCAAAGCAAGAGCGCTTTGTAATAATCTGTTGATTCTAACATACATTTATCTTATGTGTCATCATAAGACTTTCCATTTGGGTCTAACTTGGTCTAAAGAAACCACATTTCTCTCAGTAAAGAAATCTCCACAGAACTTTTAACATTAATGCCAGTTTATTGAGAACAGACGCATTTCAGCCCTTCGTGCAGATCCCAAGGCATGCCTGTGTTTTGTTATCAGTGACAGCCCATGCTATTTGAAAGGGACTTGGTTAGATGTGCATGGTTTAGTCTTGATTTCTCTGCATGGGTGTCAACGCACAGGGTAGCAAAGCTCTCATTCTGTTTGTGTAACGGTGGTCAAAAACCCAAAGAGGAGGATCAAAGGAGCAGACGAGGGCAGGTGGATTGGCTTCTGGTCAGTGACAGATGAAAGCAGCTGACACATAAAGGTGTGAGTGAAGACCCAACACTTTCACCCCAGGGTGGGCGTTAGAAGAGGATTTTTTCTGTGTTAAATATTCTCTGGATATGTGCTCTCGTTGGGAAAAAGCTGATGTCTTTGCATTAAATGCCTCTAACGTTATCTCCAGTCCCCTCTGGAGGAGCTTCACTATAGTCAACTAACAACAGTGAAATAACCATGCAGTTACATCAGCCAAATCCCCCAAAGGCAAAGCATCACACACTAATGTTCCCCTCTGTCCAACGCCAGGCTCCACATAACATATTCTGTGTAATGTTGAGTTTTCACAAATCTGCCTTGTCAAGCCGCGAGCTCTGCAGACAGTCTCCACGCCCTGTTGCGTTTCAGGACCCCAGTTGGTCTTTTGCTGCATAAGTACGTGTATGACATATTTCTGTCTGAAGTCAAGCTTTTCAAGTATCAGATGCCAGCCGCCTCTCGCTGTGCCATGTCTGCCAACACCAGCCATAGCTGTCTAACACTCCACATCCTCCTTTTGAAACTAAGCTCAGTCCCATTATGGCTGTGGTAGCTGTGAGATACTCATTTTGCACCCTAAAGCCTGCTTTCTGTGTCAGTTCCTTTGTGATGCTGCTTTTTAGTTAGCCGGCATGAAGCACAAGGGAGAGAGATGGTTGAATTCCTATTTTACTGTGTGTTGTAGTTGAGTATGTCCTGTGGCATTTTTTTGTATTATACCTCCAGTGTGTTGGGTTTATTGTTAAAGGCAATGCCAAAACATTCAAGTTTCGAAACCTTTTAAAAGCAAACAAAATGGACAAACAGTATATAACATATAAAACAATGTCATACAAAGTATTCATTTGATTTTGAGGCGTCGAAGCGGGGACAAAGTCCTCAGAGGGTTAAGCAAAGGTTTTAAAAGTTACATTGTTCATTCAGTGTGCTAGAATGAACCCAAATCAACCACTTTCTTCGAAATAATTTGAATAAAACTGCTATTTGTAACCGGTTAAGCAACACAATATCTGAAATGTTTTTTTTCTATTTATGATTGTATTCCTTATTTTTTTTTCTGCATAGATGCTTTTCCATCCCTTTGCTCATGCCTCAGTCTCTTCCTCTGTTCCTGTCCCCACTCTGTATTATTATTCTGTTCTTTTCTCCGACACATCTCCATATTATTTGTGTTTCTCTCTCCATCTCTCTGCCTATTTATTTCTGGTCCTTGGTTCCTAGACTTGCAGAAGCTCACTCGAGCAGGAGGGCCATTCCCCCGGGCTTCACAGCTGTTATTGGCCTATCACACAGTTTCATCTTTACAAGTCATAACATTTTCCCATTTTCAATACCAAATCCAATTTCTTTCCTCACTAAATTAGACATTAGTCAGCCCTTCAGGTAAGCGATACCAGGGAGGGAAATTAATGTGTTAGAAATGATGTGGTTTCAGTCTTGCTTTTTTATCAATGTTCCACCTACACACATGTGCTCGCACACACACAAGTGATCCACGTCCAACAAACGCCTCCTCACACGCTTCCCTCCAGTCAGTGGCTTAAATTGTCCGTGTGCTGCCAGGATGTGCCTCTTGAAAATGTAAGTACCAGGGAAAATGTTTCTCTGGATATTTGATGGCCCGTTTATGAATTGAGTAGGATTGAAAATCTATTGACCCGGAGCTTATACTGTACAATGTCAGTAGACCATTACATTTGTGTGAAAAGCCCTATTAAATACTAATATTGAACAAAGGAACCAGTGGCAGCTCTGCTCATGTACTGGCTCAGCTGAACGCTTGAATCCACTTTTATTACAGATCGTTTTGCTAGTGATCCTTCTGTGTCTAGGGCAAATCTGTGACATTTATATGTCATGAAATCCATAAAGACTTTAAAGCTATGTCTCTTAATTTCTGTCAACTTTGTTTTTCCACTTTTCTTGTAGGCATCCTTTTCCAACGGTGTTCAGTACATGCAGTAAGAAAGACCTTGCTGCCAGTCTGGAGAAAGGCGTGGGCATGTGTCTGGACAACATGCCCGAGGTCAAGGTGCTCTACGGTGGACAAAAGTGTGGCAACGGCTACGTTGAGGAGGGAGAAGAGTGCGACTGTGGGGAGCCGGAGGTAAGATGGAGACCAGACATCTTTGTCCTGGCTTGCTTAGTCCATCAGTCTGTAACTTCAAGTGTGTAGCACTGATTGTATTTGCTGTATACAAATATTAGATCACAAAAAGCAATTCAGAAAATCAATATTCTACTCTTTGGTGATTTAAGAAGTGTTGTTAATGTGATTCAGAAAGATTCCATCGGTGGTCCTCTCCCAAAAATGTCCAACAACAAATCTGATTTTTATGTCTAATTATTGTAAAATTCCCATTTAAATATATGAACACTTAAACACAAGGGAAATACTGGTACCACATGCTTTTCTGACTTTATACTGCCATTACAAAGCCTATGGTGCAGAGAAAATAACAGTTCTGTAAGCAATCATCCAGAACACTGAAAGTCTCGAGAGCTCCGTCAGACCCCGACCGAACACAACAAATATCAGGTCAAACTTTCTGTTGACATTGACATTGTGTTTGGGGCTTAAAAGCATCGGAACCCACTTTAAAAAAAAAAAAAGACTAAAAGCTGAGCAAATCACCCGATATATAAGTGTTTTATTTACATCACACCTTCCCTCAGTGTCCCACATGTGCTGAGCGGTGCCCTGACAGGCTGCCAGGAGGACTTCATGTCCTGGTTGAAGGCCCATTAATCAAACCACTGTCCAACTGTGGCAAAGGAAACAAACAAAGCTGAAATAAGCTTTCTTTGGCTTTGCAAAGGCATGTATGATGCATGTGTCCACCCCCTTTGTTTCTGCCTCACACACACTGCAAGGCACCATGGGAAGTGAACTTAGCCATTATGTGGGAAGCAGGTATTACTCAGTTTCAGCGATGTGGAGATTTGATGATACATAAACATTCATATTCATTCATTAAAATATCTCAAGGTTTTGCTGGAGAATGTAAGGTGGTGAAACTAAAAAGAAAAAAAAAAAAAAAAAAGTATATACTAACTAAGCACTCATATACTAACTAAGCACTGACATACTAACTAAGCACTCATATACTAACTAAGCACTCATATACTAATTAAGCACTCATATACTAACTAAGCACTCATATACTAACTAAGCACTCATATACTAACTAAGCACTCATATACTAACTAAGCACTCATATACTAACTAAGCACTCATATACTAACTAAGCACTCATATACTAACTAAGCATTATATACTAATAAAGGACTGGTTATCTAAAGCCAGTTGAGTAGCACTTAAAATGGTTTGGCTCTATGAAACCTGATGTACTTATATGATTCTGTTTTCTATAAGTTTGTANTAAGCACTCATATACTAACTAAGCACTCATATACTAATTAAGCACTCATATACTAACTAAGCACTCATATACTAACTAAGCACTCATATACTAATTAAGCACTCATATACTAACTAAGCACTCATATACTAATTAAGCACTCATATACTAATAAAGGACTGGTTATCTAAAGCCAGTTGAGTAGCACTTAAAATGGTTTGGCTCTATGAAACCTGATGTACTTATATGATTCTGTTTTCTATAAGTTTGTATCTTCTTGGTCGAATGCACTTATTGTAAGTCTCTTTGGATAAAAGCGTCAGCTAAATGTAATGTCATGAAACAATGTCTGTATCTTCAATCTTAAAAATAAGGTCAGCTTAAGATATTAAATAATAAAATATCTGTGTGATAAATTGAAATAGCCTGATCGACTTTACAACATATTCTCTACAAGCTGTTTTCTTCAAATACTGGAGGTAATAGTGTGGGTTAACTTACAATATGTATTTGATAAACACATGAGTGATGTCTCTTTCCTCAAGAAACTATCTTTGTATGTGTTCTTTAACGGTAAGCGCCGGCTATAATGAGCCCGCTAACATGAGGAGAAAAGAGAAAAGGCTTCATAATGCATCTGTTAACATCAGAGCTCGACATGTGATTCCTAACCAGGATTAAAGACAGCTTTGTTTATTGAAAAGAATAAATGTTTTAAATGGGTACTTAAGTTTGTAATTTTGCTGATCCAAGTCTTTAAAATGACTCAACAGCGTGTTTGCTTCTTTGGTGTTGCGACTAAGCACTTATTTATTTACAGGCCACTGTAGGTAGTGTTTTAGTGGAGTCATGGTGTTTTACCACCAACGAACAAACTGTATGATTAACATTTGTTAACTCCATCTCAGCCAGTTTGCCCCTCCATGATGTCACCACAAAGGGCCTGCTTGTTTTATCCGCTGGCCCACATAGAGCAAGAGATGAAAGCCACCGTTTCTCCCCTCTCTAAACAATAGGCTTACATCAGGGCCATGAAGTAAACAGCCAGGCTCGTAAAACCGCACACCAACTGAAAATTAGACGTCCGACAAGCCGGCTGCCTCCAGTTCCCAGACCTCATCAAATCTCTTCTTTACCTTGGAGCCCCACAAGCGAAACAGCCACGTTGAGAAGGGATAAACGATAGTGGGAGTAGTTTCCTGCGTGCGATGCGTGACACTACTTGGAAAACAAAGCTGATGTGTCTTGGCATTCAATAGAAGATTAACATTGCAACACCGTCCCTGAAGTCTTTACAGCATTACTTCTCTTTCCCCTCATGTCTCCTCTCTCTTCTTGTTGTCGGTTTCTGCCGGCAGCACTCTGATCCTGTCATTGTGGTGAAGTGGCTACGATCTTCGTCTCTTAAAAACTCAAGATCCACTCCTGCTCCTTTCCATGATCGCCAAATAGTCTATTATTTATATACATCAAATCTCAGTTGAAGATCTAAACACACACCCTCCCAACTGCTACTTATATCTCTTGTTTCACCTCACCCACGTTTTGACCCCACCCAGGTCATCCTGTCAAACACACCATTCCCAAATCAAGAACATATGAGTTTGAGTTAATACATGTAATACATCCATTCAAAGTTCTCCAGGTCAGAGAAGTGGGAATCCCCTGACAGGAAGTCCGCCCCCCTGACCTGGAAGTCTTGATCTGACCGGGAGCAGCTGAGAGAACAAAGGTCACGTCCACATGATGTGAAACGTTTTGTTTTCTTCCCCATATCCCAGGAATGTATGAACCCATGCTGCAACGCCACCACGTGCACCCTCAAGGGAGACGCTGTGTGCGCCCACGGACAGTGCTGTGAAGACTGCAGGGTAAGAGTTCTTACTCAGGTCATCTTATGCATCCCCCCTTCTACTTTGGAACTCCTCTTTACATTTAAAAAGCCTTCCTGCCATTCTCATTGCTGTAAAGGTTCTGAAATTGCATTTTCGATGCTTCTATGAACAGTACAAAAAGCAGTACTCTGCGGAGATGAAAATATTTCAATTCAGAACTCAAGTGCCAAGACTCAGAACTTTCTCTTTTATTTCTCTCTTCTAGGTTATCAGGAGATTCATAATAGTGTGCCCTTGTGTATAATGTAATATCTCGGGTCAGTTCATTCCATCTTTGTATATTTTACCTGAAGGCTGATTTCAGTTATGGATAAGTTCTCAAGTTGAAAAGCGGAAAGTTATCCGTGGTTTTCCACTTTGGCATGAACATCTTTTTACTGAGTACTTTAGATGCGTGTTGTTTCATTGAAAAGGAACATTTGTTTGAGGTTAATTCATTACATTTAGTCTTTTCATTATGTCCTCGAACATGTCTCCAAATAAGTCCTTATTTTTGCTTTACATTAAAACACATTTTAAATCATAACAAAGAATACAATATCAAAAAGATATTCTACTTTACACTATGGCCCCATTTCCTTGGTGTTTTTATCTGCAGATCTATGTATTGCTTATTTTGGACATAAGAGTACCTTTTACATTCATTCTCATAATTGAATGAAACCTCCAAGCCCTTTTCTCGTTTTTATGTAACCCGGACATATCCTTTATATTAAATGCTCTTCTGCGTTAGACGCTCTTTGTTAACTTTAAAAAGTGTTTTTTTCCCCTCTGTGTCACGAGGCAATAGTCAGGTAAAAATTATAATTTGTCCAATTAGCCTCAACTGTACTTTGTGGAGTTTTTTACTAATCAATTTGTCCTACCTAAATGGAAATCATCATGAGGTCAAGGAAAAATGTGAAGGATAACAAGACAGCTGCAGTGCTAACCCAAAGATAATGGGCCTAGTAAAACCTGATGCTTTAAATATGTCAAAAAAACGGAACATTTCACCAAAAGCATTGACTTTAACAGATAGATGGTCATCAATTCTGCATATACTATTCCTGAAATGGCTCACTGTGCTGTACCGTATGCGTTCACAGCTGAAACCGGCTGGCACCATGTGTCGAGAGTCCAGTAACTCCTGTGACCTGCCAGAGTTCTGTACCGGTGCCAACCCTCACTGTCCAGCCAACGTCTATCTGCATGACGGGCACGCCTGCTACAGCGTTGAAGGCTACTGCTACAACGGCATCTGCCAGACGCATGAGCAGCAATGCATCACCCTGTGGGGGCCAGGTAGATAAATGGCTCCTGATCAGCTGTGTTCATCCTCTTTACTGTCATTAGGGAAATCGTTCACTTCAATTTGGTCGTTATGTTTAGCATTTTGCTTGTTTGTCTTTGTGCGAAGGAGCCAAACCTGCCCCTGGGATTTGCTTCCAGCGAGTCAACTCTGCAGGAGATCCTTACGGGAATTGTGGGAAGGATTCCAAAGGCTCCTTTGCCAAATGTGATGCGAGGTAAGTTTCTGCAGCTGCACCGATGTGGTAGAGGTACGGAGAAATTACTGTGCAAAACAAAACTGATTAGCTTAAGTGGTGTCATTAGAAATCTTCAGTATGTGGTGGAATCTGACGTGTGATCTTCAAACTAAAGTTTACACGGGTGAAAACATTTAATTTGAGGAAGATGGCAGCTAATTACGGTCTATGGAAGTATTCATGAATCATTTCAAGCTATTCTTTTAAAATAATTGTTCCAAAGATCTTTGGGTGAATTCTGTATTCAAGCGCTTTGTTAATTGATGCAATTGCTTTAACGACCGTAGGACTGAAGCACTGCGGCTCTCTTCAGCTGTCTTTCATCTGTCTCTGCATTTACTTCTCCTTGTGTTTGATTGACAGGCCTTAATGCTTTATTGATTAAGCAGTAGGGCTGCTCGATTATGGCAAAAATCATAATCTCGATTACTTTGGTCAATAATTGATTTCATGATTATTAAAAACGATTATCCATTTACTTTGAAAACATACATTTATTGGAAAAAAAATGTGAACAGTATGTTTTTAACAGTGGATTGCCCTGAACTTTAAGTATAATTCAACTGAAAAACCAATGAAAAAAATAATCGTTTTATTTCGATTGTGTTGTTTTCATAATCGTTGCAAGCCAAAATCGTAATTGCGATTAAAATATGATTAATTGAGCAGCCCTATTAAGCAGTTTAACTATGTGTCTTTAATGTTTTTGCCAACGCATGTGTTTCTGTGTGTTGTATTCAGGGATGCAAAGTGTGGAAAGATTCAGTGCCAGGGAGGAGCCAACCGGCCAGTGATCGGAACAAATGCTGTTTCTATTGAAACAAATATCCCGCTGCAAGAAGGAGGCCGAATTCTGTGTCGAGGAACGCATGTGTATCTGGGCGATGACATGCCTGACCCTGGGCTGGTGCTGGCTGGCACGAAGTGTGGAGACGGCATGGTGAGTGATCACTCCATTAGTTAAGAGTTTTTCCTTAACAACCCTCCAGTTAGTGCTTTTGTATTGTAAGTAAGGGTGTTGTTGAACATGAGTTCTGGTCTTAATATGCTCAATATGGGCCTAATAAGGCAGTAGTACCTAGTGCTGCGTACCGGTACGCCGAACCGGTACTGGACTTGTAAAAAGTTTCGGTTCAAGTCCGGTTAAAACCGGAACGTCAGGAACCGGTACTTACGTATATTCTCCTTTGTGTTCTAAACCATCTAAAACCTTCCATAGATCGAGACATTTGCACTGAGAAAAGACGAAAAACATTGTTTTGGCTTCTGATATGGCGGCCATTACTGAGCTCACGAAGTCTCGCAAAATATCGCAACTGCTCGCGAGATCTGTGTGACGTCAAGGGAAGCTGGCTTAGACATAGTGGACACTGACAGCGTGGGATGCTGGTTGCCATATTTGGTAGTGTAGCTAAACTAACTCCTTTGTATGTATGGTGATATAGTGTCTGCCGAAAGAGCAACACTTCACCCAGACAATGTCAATATGCTGTTGTTCTTGAACAAGAACACATTGACTTGTACTCTTGCATATTGAGTCTTGTATGTACATCACTATATGTAGTTGTGTTGTGTAGTTAGTAACACATGTAGAGTTCTAGAAAAGACATGGTGTNNACTCTAATATGCATGTTAAATGTTAATTAACAACTACCGTAATTTTCGGACTATAAGCCGCACTGGACTATAAGCCGCACTGGACTATAAGCCGCAGGTGTTTTAATGTTTCATTACCATATGTAAGGGTTCGTGCACAGAGGGGATTGTCGGGAAAGAGATGGCTGTTTGAGGAAGCTCCCATTTATTAACATTTCAACAAACAAGTTGCATATTTGCATAACGTATTCAAGTGTTACCATTTAGTGCAATAGTAGCTACAGAACATGTACTGTGCTGTGTAAACTGTACTGTATCACATAGCGTTTCAGACACACAAACTTTTCAACTTTCAAACTTAAACGGTGCGCTCCCAGCAGCACGTTTAACACCTTTGCACAAACTGTCTCGCTCTCGTAATGTCTGTCTGTCTTGCTCTCGTTCTGTCTCTCGTACCACTCTCGGTTCCACTTTTACTTTTGCGCGCTAACTGTCTCACTCTTTTCCGGCCTCCAGCTTTTACTGCTAGAGCCCGCCGCTTAAAGGGGGGGCCGGGCGCGGACCGGCCATAGAGCCCATAGAGTTAAAGGTGGTGGACTGTAACCTGTAAAATCCATAGATTTAGGAGGTCCCCTAGTGGCCGTTAGCTGTAAAAATCCATAGATTAGCCGCACCGTTATATAAGCCGCAGGGTTGTAAAATGGGAAAAAAGGCGCGGCTTATAGTCCGAAAATTACGGTAGTTGATGGTGAATATGTGTATCTAAAGTGTTACCGTCATTTTCTATTCCTGTGTCTCAACTATGCACAAGTCTTTATAAAACTAAATGAAATCATAGGTAGTATATACAACAGTAATGTGCTGTATAAGCTGCTTCTAAAGGTCATGCTTGCTATTCTCTATTTATTCACTTCTGTAATTTACAAATTCTTTCTATAGCTTTAGAACGAGCTGTTCCCTTGTTGTTTATTGCCCTGTAATACAGCATGGAGCTATATTATGTGTCCTCTAAAGACCCCAAAAAGACTGACAACTGTGTGAGCCTAGTGTAGTACTACTCTAGTATTCCTTTGGGTGCTGAGGACTGCAGTTAGGAGGCGAGGCAGAGTCAGAGGGGCTAATAAAGTTAACTCCTGAGGTAATCCACTGATCCGTATATATATAGACATCATGCTGAGGGCTGGACAAGACCGTCATGGCAACCAGTTATTTTATTAGGTGTGCCTCCCGACTTTGTGCTGCCCTCAAAATCTCTCTTACCACTGCGCTGAAATCAGGGCTTTCTTTCACCACGAAGGAGGCAGAAAAGGAGTTTGGCCTGGAGCACTTGCCTCCTTTATATAATATGCAGCTCATACGGACATTGTCACCACATTTCTCTGCCGCTTTATCAATAAGTAAATGGATGAACATTACATTTTAAAGCACCTAATTTTCCCCTTTAAACTGTGGGGTTTTCTCTGGAAGTGTTTCCTTGTACAATGTGAGGGTCTAAGGACAGAGGGTGTCGTATTGTCATACTGATATTCTGTACAAACTGAAGTCCACTGAGACAAATGTAACATTTGTGATATTGGGCTATATAAATAAACATTGATTGATTGACCTCTATCGTAAAAGTACATTTTGGTGTCCAGAGATTCAATAATAGAAAAGTGCTATTTCTTACAGTTATTTGCATTGTTTACTCGCATCTTTACTTGTCCCTATGGTACTAGTTAAAATGTTCTTCAGCTACATACACATCAAGGCAGTTAACTTACAGAATTATAACTCTGTGTCTGAGGAATCTTCCCCGCCCCAGCCCCTCTGGTACTCCCTGATGGGATTTGTTCCTATCCAGTTGTGCAAGACATTGTGTTTTCTCACTATTTCCTGAAACACAGAAAATATGATGCAAGTTTTGACACTTGTCCCAGGCCCATCCAGTCGACACATGCTCCTTTAGAGATACCCATGGTTTCTCCTTTATAGTTCTCACAGCTGGATGATTGCATTTGCAACACCCCTCGCAGCTCTGGAGTTCGCTCACGAACATCCAGCACTCTGCCTACGTTGTTTAAACATGGCAGCGGGGTTATGCTAGAAAAATAACCAATTTACAGACTGAAACAAAAATGTGTTGTCTCAGAGTCCTACAAGTCCTCGCTCGTTTCAGTCATCTCAAGGGGCTTGCCCTTGGAGCTGAAAGACCTTTGGGCTTTCTGTGCAAAATGGCAGTCTGCCATGTTAGCTTGGGTCTGTTGTCTCTGCAACATGTGACTGAGCTCCACACATTAGCATGAAATGCTGCTGGCCTGGGTCTTTGTCATCACGGGCATTTGTTCTTTTCAAAAAGGTTTTCTATTTTCCATGACAATAGGGCCATTAGGTTCACAGCACATGGCCCACACCACAGCGGCAATTAGAAGAGATGGAATAGCTTGATTATGGAAGTCTTGTTTGTTTTCGGGGAAATCACAGCATATTGTGTTTATAGATTCTTCACCTCTTGATCTGCATTAAAGGTTGTGAAACATGCGGCAATTTCAATTTGTTATATTGTTTATAGTTTTTAAAGTCTTTTTCCATCTCAATCAGCAACTGTACTCTCCTATTTGGTAGAGAACATGGAGCAGGTATAAATCATGTGCACATACACGACAGATGTGATCCAACTGTAAAAACATCTTCTTCTGTATTAAACCTTATTATCTCTCTCACTAAACGCCTGATGATTTCTCCCCTTTACAGGTGTGCCTGAATCGCCAGTGTCAGAATGTCAGTGTCTTCGGTGTGCACGAGTGCTCTGGGAAGTGCAATGGACGTGGGGTGAGTGCAAATGATCTGCTATTCAATATTTAGTGTTAAATTATACACTGTAGCATGTTGAACAGCTCTGGGAGGACTCTGTGTGTATTCATTTAGTCACTTCCACCAATTGACTTAAGAGTGTCTTGCCGCCCTCTGACTGCATACAGAGCAACAGTGTATTTACACTGCAGCCTGTGAGTTATGGCAGATGCTCCCATTCGGTGCGATCAATCTTCATTGTCCCACTGAGGTTAAATCAATCCGGTTTAACAGCATCATTTATGGTCTACCAGGGCTCGACATTATAAATGGCCCGCTGGCCCGGAAGCACTATTTAGACACCCCGGGCCAGCATAACGTACTTTCCACTTGCCCACTCGGGCCACTAAAAATATTGTTTACAAAAAAAAATGTTTCATGTGGTATTGGTATTTTGACTAGCAATTTTGCTAAATTGTTTCGTTTATTAACGCTACAACATAGCGTTTCGTGAGTCGCTTCTCGCTTGTCGTTGTTGGGTGAAAAGCAAACAGCTGTTTGCTGCGCAGCGCGAGCAGTCTCCTGTGAGCGGGAGCGCGCTCCTTCACTACAGACTATCGCGCCACCTAACCATTCGCCTAAATGTTTTTAATACCAGCGGTAACCGGCCAAGCGCCGGGCAAAAAACTATCTTCAAATAAAAGAAAGTCAGTTAAAGGAGAGTGACAGGGAGTATGAGAAGAAGAGGGAGAGAAAGTTTCAGCCATCTTGATCGATGGAGTTGGCGTCCTAAAACCCTTTTATAATCTATCGATTAGATTTACGATTTGAAAATTATAAAAGTACGGTAGACAAGTGGAGATTATCCGACTGAACAAAACGTGCATCTATCAAACAGGTTTGTTTTCCACAGACCTTATTTCCAGCTATTTTCCAAAACCCTGTGGAGAAATCCCATTGCTTTTTTGACGAGGGAACCAGCGGCTTACTTCCCGGAGGGCCAGTGGCATCTTACCCTTAATATCTACCCCTGTCTACTTAAGATGTTGTCCATGATCTGCCCCCTGTACAGTGAGAGGAAAACAGTGCAGCATTGCAGTAAGAGAACACACTGCTACTGTAGTTGTGTTGCAGTGTAAAGAAGATGCTCACCTTTCTCTCTTAGTTTTTCATATCAATAATTCAACAGGGGGTGACTTTATGTTTAGTTTACAGATTCCCAGTTCCCAATCCACCAGGGACTAGTTTAGCTCACACTTATCTCTGATCGTATACGGCAAAGAGATTATATACACTTGTGTATTCCACAACTTTTTCTTGTTTCTTACTTTAATGAACAAACACCTCTGTACCAATTTAGTCCGTCAATATAAAAATAAACTTGTTATTCTCAACAACACAGCTGCCAGTTGACGTTCTCACTGCAATAACAAATAATCACATTGAAAATACTTTGCAAGAGAATAAAGTATGGAGAAATGTTTCCCATTAGGAGTGTAGAATTGAGCTGCATGTTCCCCCCTGCAGACATATCTGCCAAATCAATTTGTCTCCCATTTTCTCCAAACACCTCCCACAGTACGAGACCTGACTGGAAACGCAGTGATTATCTGATTTTAGTTTAAAGAATAGCGTTAGCTTGCAAAACAACTCACTTTACCTCGCCCTGCATGTATTGACTTTTCCAGGTACATTGGTGTTTATATGTATGTGTTGCTTTTCTATACCTTATATACCCATACAGACATCTTCAACGCAAATGAGTATACACTTGTGAAGTGCAATCTTTCCTGATATGAGAAACCGAGGCTCAGGAAGTGAAGAGCCAGTGTGTGTTAATATGCATCTTAAGCTCAACAGGATTTTAAAGAAATATGTGCCCACTCTCATTTTACAGTTAGTGTCCTGAGTCTTAATTCAATAGAGACAGATCATTTCCTTGTAGCAACATAAAGAGATTTGCTTTGCTGTCGTCACATTTCTCTTAATACACAAATGAAAACATCTCTTTACGCCCCCCCCCAAGTGCCTCTTAGCCCCGGTGTGAAGAAGTGTCCGTCGCCTGGAGGCAGGGAAGGCACTTGACTGCACGCCTGTGTTTAATGTAAATCCCACATCTGCACAACTCCCTCTCTCCTCCCTCCCTTCATCCCTCTCTCTTCCCTCCACACTGACAGCTGGACTGCGTTACCTCGCCAGGGAATCCTCCTGAATCAAACTTGTGCTCAGGAATCCTGAGGCTTTACGGGATGGACTCTCCCATGCACATGTTTGATCTATTATGACTCTCAGTACACACACACGCGGAGACAGTGTCCTCTCTTATTAAAAATCACTTTGGCTAACCGAATGCGAGAGCTTTATGTATGTATGAAAAATAAACCAAATCAGGTTTCATGTTGTTATTTCTGGATGCTCCCATACATCATTTAAATCTGGAGTTTAGCTGGTAGGAATAGAAATGCCTCTAAGTACTATTTTGTGCAGGAGAAAGGGAGTATCAATATTTCATGTTATATATGGTGCAACTCCCGTGTTTGCAGGTGTGCAACAACAAGATGAACTGTCACTGTGAAGCACACTGGGCGCCTCCGTTCTGCGACAACGGCGGCTTCGGTGGGAGCATCGACAGCGGCCCGATGAGAGTGGCAGGTAGCGTGCACGACTTCATTTCCATCCTCTCTCATGTAGACATCTCTTTCTTGTAGAGTCACTTCTAGATGGATAAGTAGTGTAACTTTTCAAGAACATCCTCCATGCAGAAATACGTTACATTGAGTTCAGTCTGTAGCTTTAAATGAGAAGTTAATTGAGTTTGAGTTGAGTGAATTACTGAGAAATGTGATTTACACACTGTGCTGCTGACCGTGTCCTCACTGTAACAGTCTCTGCCTCATGTCCTGTCATTCTGTGCTGTAGATGTGCGTGTGTGTGTATTAATGTGCGTGTTGTCGTATATGGCGTCAGCTGACAGTGTGGTCATTACTGTGGCAATCCTGGTGACCCTGATCAGCCTGCTGGTCACCACCCTCATCATCTTCATGAAGAGGAAGGCTCTGCTGCGGCTCCTCTTCAACAATAAGAAGAGCACCTTGGAGAAACTCAGGTGACACAACTCTTCACAAAACATGACATAAGAAATTGTGGCTCTATCAGAAGTTTAGTTCTTATTCCTGCTATCTTGTTTTAACGAGACGTTTCTACCAAGTCGTAATGCAATAAGTCATTGATTTAAATGTTTTCATCACGTTTGATTGTCACTGGCAACAAAAACAAGTAACCGTCACTCATCACAATCAAATATGGCTAAACCTGAAGCTCACAGTTTCTTGTTTATTTAAGTGATATGTTAAACACAGGGGGAGAAATAGCCTATATTTTTTAGATTCACCTGAGAACATTCGTATCACAAAAGTAAAAATTGAGAGACTCGTTCAGACCATCTTGTAAAAAGCATACAATACATTAAAATACTTTATATTGTAATGAATTGCTGCTCAGTATAATAAAAGTGACCGGCTCTTCAACTAACAGCCGGGATCTCTGCATATTATACATTATGATACACACACCTTAACATTATGTTAAATGTATACATGAACCAGTAGTTCAAGTACTACAAGTCATCAACAATTCAAAAGTAAAGTAAAAACAATTATATTTGCAGATTACTCCAGCTAACAGGTATTGGATATTCCCAGTATTGCTTATATATGTATTCGCTTTTTTCTTGCCCTAATTCTTTTTTTTTTATTACGGTAGTTTTTTTTCAGTTTTCATTGGTTTTCTTTGTTTCTTTGTACTCCTTAATTTCTATACGTTTTTGATGAAATAAATGCCATTATTATTATATTGATGCTAATGATGATGCACGGGAGGGCTACTCCCCATAAGCTATGCTTCAGCCCTCCCGCTTCTACTAATTTTGTTCATTTGTGTGTATGAATTATACGTTTTTGTTTTTGTATGATTTTAGTAGAATAAATAATAAAAAAAATAATAAAAAAAAAAGTTGTGTACAAATTAAAAAAATAAACAAATACATCATTTTTAGATAGACAATAATAGTAAGACTCAATAAAATAGGCATATGATAATTAAGTATTTCCAAAATTGGAATACTTTAAGTGCATATCTATTTGGTTAAAAACAAAAAGCTACAGATTGGACCTACGTTACCCTACGTTCTTGTTTTGTGTGTATAGATCTTTGGAGGCCAGCAGGCCCACCAGCCCCTTGAGGACTCAGTCCATGTACAGACCCACCCCAAAACGCAAGCCTCCACCCAAACCCTGTGCAGCCAACATTTATAAGGTGAGTCACTCCCTGCAATACATCTGTCACGGCATTAATAATGTGTATAATGTATTTTCATATACACCCATGTGTGTGTCTGTCATGGTCCATTCTATTGGAATGATTTCTTAATCACACTATAAGATCACTTCACTATCATCCACGCCTCGGTTTAAAGTCTCCAGGCTTGTTGACAAAAATAAATCCTGGATAATTGAAGCAAGCTCACTTTATTATCTCCCTCTCTACCTCTCTGAGAAATATTAATTGCGCTGCTTTTGTTGAGGGGATGCAAAGGAAATGTAATTGAGAGATTGCACTATTTAAGTGAGACTCAGGAGGTTGTTATTTGAGCCCTTTGAATATTTGTTTGTGATAAAAAAAAACAGATTCTTTATGATTAGGGGGGAGCAGAGTTGATTGATTTAGGCGGAGGAGGAAAGCAGGCTTTGATTTGTTTGTTGGAAACGATCGACACAGCCGGAGATTACCTATTATTAATATGTGTGTGTGTGTGACACAAACAAAAGCATTTATATTCATGAGAGTTTGTTTGTGTTTGCAGTGTGCCGTATCTGTAGCAACAGTGTAAAAAGGTGTAATTATATCCTAATTGAATGCAGAGCGTCGTCCAGTTCACGTTGTGTATTATTCTGTCAACCAGAATGACTTTTTGAAACAGCCTGTCCATCCTTATTATGGTGCCGCTCCAGCCATTCTCTTTTCTACATCTGCATTGTGTGTGTGCATGTGCAAGTGTGTGATTGTTGTCTAGCTGCCAAATCCTTTCTGGCCATTTTAGGCGTTATTGGTTTTGTTCTGAGCGGGGGGCTAACAGCTGGTCAGGACATGTGGTCAGACTCTGGCTTCAACTATTACAGAGCGTCATCTCTAATAACGCTGTTCCCCAGTTTTATGGCTGATTCTGACATCAGCTCTTTCACACTAACGAGAGTTTTATGTCCGAAGCAGAGTTTTACTTTTAATGCCTGAACTAAACTTTAATAATTCAGTTTAAAGCTTTTGAGTTATCTTATCAGCAAGCAAGGCAAGCACATTTATTGTTAATGAACATTAAAAGGTGTTGTTTTTTGTTTATTCCATCTTATAATCAAAATGAAGTCTATAAGAGGCCAATTTGACTTCTTTAAATTTAGAGATATTTGATCATTTTGAAACCTTTTCCATAACCTACCACGATAGGACACGTTTAGGTTCTTTTTAAGAGACCTGATCTGAAAAGGGTCCCAAAAACAGTAACAAACAATCTGACTAGACCAGAGGCCTGTACCACGAAGCCGGTTCAACCTAACCTGGATAGGTTTGAGTTAGCCGGTTGGCCTAATCCAAAACATATGCGCTCTCGCTAAACGGTCCTACGACGCTGGTTGTCAAGTGGATCACTCAAGCCAGCTTCACCCTATCTAGTTAGGTGCGCGTTCACATGAAAGGGGTGGTATTTGGAGCATTCGACCAATCACAAACATGGACAAGCGTACTGACAGCGCAGCGCCTCATACTTCCTGAATGAAAAGTTAACTATAATATTAGACAAATATGAAGACGTTAAACTTTAAACATCCACGACTTAAACACTTTATCCAGGATAAAAGCCACATAGCTGCACCTGCAAGGTGAATACAGCTGGTAAAAGATAAAGTGTTTGAATGTGTACATTAACAGGTTTATGATATCACTGCCCCGTCTAAGACACGATCTGACTTTAATTACATTTGACTCGAGTGTTTCGTCAACTTAATGTGTTGCTTAAATTAATACTTCTGCATACAGTATGTGACACTGTAAGTGTTGCACGGCCAGATACGGCTCGGCTGACTCAGATAAGGAAATATATGATACATTATGATGCATGTGATATGAATGATAATGGGACACATCGACGTCTGCACTCACAGTGCCGCGGACTGTAGGCTACGTAATGTTACTTTGATCTGGTTACTTATGTTGTGGCAGATATTTAATTAAGCTTTCTTAACATAATAGTATAATAATAGTTATAATAGTCAGATTGCTCTGAAGATGGGAGGTGATATTCTATTCATTTTCACGTTCACACAGTCTGTGATTTTGGCCGGCCGTCTTTCCTGCAACAGCAGTTTAAACTGTATTTCCTCCGCACACTGAGCTCTGATTGGTCAGCAGGCGTGGNACGCTATTCCCGACTAACAAATAATCTCTCTCAACCAAAAACGATAAGAAGCAGACAGAGGGAGAATTGATTGGATAGGCATTACTGAGCTACATTTCCGATGCCAGAACTCCCGTTCCATCCACGCACACTCACTCATCGCACCCACCCGCTCTCTCCGCCGCAAACATAGATTTTTTGCAATTCGTGTACCACATATCACCATAACATCAGAGAGCCGTTCAACTCTTTGTAAAAGAATCAATGGAAAGGAAGATGCCGCAGCATGATAGTCTCTCTGCACGTTCTGAGCTGGGCTAATGCTGTAATGCTAATATGCTAATGCGAGGATTACATAAACATGGTGGCTTCACAACACTTTTTTTGAGTTTTACGGGGCGTGGTTTGCAATCCGCCCAGCCAATCAGAAATGATAGGCTATTTTCCACCGGAATCCAGAAGTTATCTTGCTAAATGAAAATCCTGCTTCGTAGTATCACCCCTTGGTTAGCCCGGCACAGCATAAAGTTACCATGGAGATCTAGCCCGCTAAAAAGAGAACTAGGCGCGTCGTAGGACCGTAACCAGAGTTTTCCCCTGAAGTTTAGTCCGCGCTTAAGCGAAAATCCTGCTTCGTATGTACAGCCCTTTGAGGGTAACTAAGACGCAGATCCAAAACAGACGCAACAAAAATGTGACTTGCGCAAAACTCTGCAAGCTTTACGCAAGGTCCTTAAAAATGGTGGCTTGGTGTTTGTTTTTGTCGCGACCCTAAAGTCTAAGACCGAAAGAAATGTAAGTTATTTTACATCTTCTAAGTGAGAAAATCTGAATTCCTTACCTTTTTTACAAGCCTGGAAGTACAAGTAGTTTACTTTCAGAAAAGTTGCTTGACAAAACAAACCAGTGCTGCACAAGATAATATATGTTACGAGGGTACAACATTTTCTGGAGAAAGTGTTACAAACTCGCTACTGTCATTACATAATAAAAGGTCCTTTTTAAATGCATTGACAAAGGCAACAACTTTCGTGTTGAAATATTAAATAAAATGATTTCTTCCATATATGAAGCTTTGGTTTTCAGGTTGCTCATATTGTGCATTTGGGCTATCTAGTCAATAAATAACAATGGAGACTAAATAAAGCAGAGAACATTGTATTAACACTAATCACGCCAACCATAGAAACACGTTTGATATAAACTATGACCTGAACACACAACTTCCAGACAGCAAGTTTATTTCATATAGACAAGACAAAGCACACATAAGAGCAATATCAAAAATGAAATACATAAAGAGCATTACAATGAAATACTTATATTAGCAAATCAGATTTTATAAACAACTCATTAATAAAAGCAACGCGGATATAAATATAATAAGGGCATTTTAAAAACACTCATTTTCCAAAAGCAAGCAAAGATATACATGAATTAAAAAAGTTTAAGAGATGCAGTGTGAGATACACACATCTGAAAATGATTTTAGGTACTCGAACCTCACATCAACCAGCCGCGTTCACATCGGAGTACTTTTCCCCCACTTTAGTTCCGATATAGTGTTCCGAAATATCGCGTTCACACAAAAAAGAACGCGGAACCTAAATTAGTTAATGAGAACCTTTTTACCCCTTTTCCGTCCCAGGACTCTCATGCGGTCTCTCTGTGAGAAAAAGAGGCTATATTTCTGATTGGCTGGGCGACTTGCAAACCACGCCCCGTAAAACTCAAAAAAAAGTGTTGTGAAGCCACCATTTATTATCCTCGCATTAGCATTATTAGCATTAGCCCAGCGCAGAACGCAGAGAGACTAAATTTATGGCAACACAAAAATAAACATGGAGCGGTAGAGATGAGGAGGTGTCGCGTTCTGGCGATTTATACTCTGAAAGCTGAAAGTCCCTAACTCGCGGGGACTTCCGGCCGGGGATTTTTGGGCGGCAGTATACGCCGTGAAGTTGTTTGCGGCCTGCCAGTAAACCCAAAGCAGAAGAAGAAGTGACGTCAGCGGCTTCATTTGCCTAATCCACCCCCAGGAACTAATTCCGGTGTGAACGCGATCTGTACTTAGTTCATCAGAACTAAAGAGTTCTGATGAACTAAGTTCTCATGAACCTTTGTGGGAAAAGTACTGCGGTGTGAAAGCGCCTATTACTAACTTTCTAGCAAAAATAGTTTTGTATCACCTCCCTTACTTCCTACTTTCTTGTTTAACTTGTCCTTTAGTTATTTCAAGTGTTTCATGCTAAACGAACCCCCCCTATCTTCCTCTCTCCTCTTTCCAGCCGTCTCTCCTGAGTGCGGAGCCTCTCCTCCCCCCCCACAGCTTCCACTCCCACAGCCTGCGCAGACTGCCCCTCTACCAGCCGCTGCACATCAGCCAGCCCATGCCGGTGTCCCTGAGCGTGGGCCATCCCATCCTGCCTCCTCTGCCGGCCTACCACAGGGTCCTGCCCGCCCACACGGCCCTCTCTCCCCCCCGAGTGACACCTTTCCTCAGCCTGCCACGCCAGCAGCCGTCCTGCAGAGCAGACCAGGTTTGTTTCACTCAAGTATTCATATATTCCAAGTCTGTTTAGCTTTAACTTCATCAGAAACTGTCTTGTAATATTTTAAAATGGTCGTTTCTGTGTAGACCTCCGCTTTACTGGACCATACATAACCCATCAATTCAAGTACCATTTACGAACCAAAACACAACTTTCTACATTAATTTCCTGTCAATTCTAGGCTACCTTTTAATATAATTTAATTTCAATGAAGTGTAAAAATGAATCTACTAGGACTTCAAAATGTCTTGACAAAGGTCACAGTGACCATTTAGTCCTCTTCTTTCCAAATGTCAAAGTAACTTCTCATTGGAAATATGAATCCTTGGTGGTGCGTTTGAGGACAGCCATCCAAGATATGAGTCAGCTACAAAACAAGCATTGCACTCATAAGTTATATTCATAATAAAACATCTCACTGCTCTGGGTCTTGCAGTCATTTCATGTGATTTCATGGAACTGTAGATGTTCACATTTAATTTTTTAGGTCAACCACTCTATCATCCACTGCAGGGAGATCATTTTGTCAACAACCCTTTTCAAGGTCAAGGAAACAGTGAGATATATGTTGGCAAATCAACAACAACAACAAAGAAATACGGTTGGTCACAGCTACTTCGGACACACAGATGAAGACTTTTTAAATCAGTCCCTTTCCACAATGCATTACCTCATGAAAGTTATGTAACTTTGACTCTAAATAGGAAACTGTGATGAATGATCTTTGTAAAGCAAAGCAATGAGATTTTCATAGTCAAATGAACTGCAACAAATGGAGTGGAATGGAATATAAGAAACCAATCTTAAAGCTGAGATACTCTAGATTCTAAAATGATCTGCAGTGATTAAAAGAATATGCTAATTATAGTCAGTGTTGTAAAACTGAGATAGCCACCTGTATGGTCTTGTGTAAATGTTGTAACAAAGCATTGCATGTTAGTATTACTGCATTCCTGCACTGCGGTCCGCTTGCTTGCCCACATTATCGACTGCAACATTCAATCCGTCTCCCCTGCGTGACCCAACTCCTGAGTAAGACGCTGCGTTCTGCTTAGCCAGCGGTATTGGATGCGGTGGAGATAGTAAATCCATCTGTCTGCTGGATTTGGTGGTGCATCCAAATCCTGATGCGTTCCTGTCGCGGCGCAGCGCAGGGAGCTGTGCTGGATGTTTGTTCTCTGTGAGACCCAGCAGGGAGCGCAGGGGAATAGACGGATCCCCGCTGCTTTGAAAAAAGATAAAGACACACGCTTTGTGATGTAACTGTTTCTCCATGTTGGATAAGAAGCGTAACCTAATCCTAGATGTTAAGGCAAACGCATGAAGGAAGGACTTACAGGGAGACGTACAGAGATCCAGTTATCATACCTCCAAGGTTAATCATTCAGGTGAGCAGCAGCAGGGCTGGGAAGTAACTAAGTACTTTACTCTGGAAATGAGTACAAGATAATGTACTCAACTGGAGTGTTTCAAATGTCTGTTACTTTATGATATCATTCCCATAGAGGTAAATACTGCAGGCTGCTGTTTCTCCAATACATTTATATCACAACTATAGTTGCTAGTTAACACGAGTATTACATCACACGTATAATAAGCTCATAAAATAGAATACTTTTGTAAAAATTGAACCAGGGTTAACAACATGTTTGGCTTAACAAAGAAAGCAGGGTCTAGTTAGGACCTTTTTATTAGATTTTCAGAAAAGTTGTTGGTGTTCAAACAAAGAATCAATTCCCTCGTTACTTCTTCAGCAAAAACGACTGCCTTAACATTCAGTCCGGGATGATTTTGTGTTGCCATATAAAGCGTTGCAGCACATCACCCCTGATTAATATCAACGTTTGCCAACTAATGATGCACTTTGGCTGAAAGGCTAGCGCTTGCTTTTTAAATAAGCTGCTCACTGACCTGCCAAAACAATGAAACGCCACTACCTGCTTTTATCTCCTATCTCATTACGCTGTAATGAAACAGATGGAGCGAGTAGAAACAGCACTTATAGGTCAGAGACAGAGGATCTGTTGAGGTTTAATAACAGGCCAGCAAGGACGCACAGGACCCTTACAAAAAGTGTATTACAAGCTCATTGGAATACTTGACACAACCTCTGCTGCTGTCTTTGCCAATATGTCTCATTTTAAAAATACTTTTTTGCAGGCTATCTTATGCATGGGTGCCAATTGCACCTCATCAATGTTAAGGTGTTTCCAAGAGAATAACACCTCTCCTACATCTATTACAATGAGGCAGAGCATGAGAAGAAAACATGGGGGAGATGGACCTTTTTCTCAAACAGACCTGCTCGTTATTATCTTGAAAAATACATATCAGATATGTTGGAAGTCAGTAAAATGTTAGGCAAACACGCTCAAACCTTATTCTGATGCACTGCACATTTAGACTGCAGCTTCACACATTTTAAAATGTCATCTTTTCAGGAATTTAGAGAAACAGCCTTGCTTTTGGCCAGACCAACACGCACTTCAGTTCCTCCGGAGGATTGTGAAAGGTGTTTGTAAGCCCAAGGCTTGTAGATCATGCATAAGTAACAGAGGATGGTGCAATCTTTCATTTTGAATTAAGATATATGCACACAACCGAGGCTCCAGTTACACAGTGTGAGATTTTCTTCCAAGAGCAGCGTTAGAATGCACATCGGTGCTGGATTCTTCGTGCATTTCAGCGGGTGCATCTGTCTATTAACATCCTTGTTTTCATCTTCAGCCTTTGAAGAACAGCCTGCTTCGTAACTGGAGGAGTCATTATTCACTAAACTGTCCAGAAGTGACACATGTAGGATTTGTCAGGGAGTAATGTGCACTAAAGATCACAGTGGGTGGTACGCTGAAGGTGTAAAGTCTGCGTTAGTTTCACTTTATATTCACACCAATTTTCTCTAAGTGGATCACACAAAGCCCATACTGTGCATGTTTTACTACCCCCCC